TTAGATTGGTATACTTGATCAGTTTTTCTGTTTTAGTTAACTTGATATCTACTGCCAGACCCAGGGTGAAACATTTAAAGATTAGAGATTTGGGGTATTAACTTTTTTTTTTTTTTTTTTTTTGAAACAAGGTCTCACTCTGTCGCCCAGGCTGGAGTGCAGTGGCACAGTCACAGCCTCGAACTCCCGGGCTCAAGTGATCCTCCCACCTCGGTCTCCCAAACTGCTGGGACCATAGGCGTGTGTAAATTCTTTGAAAAAATATTTATCAGTATCCTCTTATGTTGGGCACTGTCCTAGACTTTGAGGGACACTTGAGTAAACAACATCTTAAGATTCCTCTTCTCACCAAGCTTACATGTTAGTAGGGACAACAGATATTGTTAACAAATAAGCACAATTTCTGTAAAAAGTGCTATGAGCCGGGCACGGTGGCTCAAGCCTGTAATCCCAGCACTTTGGGAGGCCGAGGCGGGTGGATCACAAGGTCAAGAGATCGAGACCATCCTGGTCAACAAGGTGAAACCCCGTCTCTACTAAAAATACAAAAAATGAGCTGGGCATGGTGGCGCGTGCCTGTAATCCCAGCTACTCAGGAGGCTGAGGCAGGAGAATTGCCTGAACCCAGGAGGCGGAGGTTGCGGTGAGCCGAGATCGCGCCATTGCACTCCAGCCTAGGTAACAAGAGCGAAACTCTGTCTCAAAAAAAAAAAAAAAAAAAAAAAAAAAAGTGCTATGAAACAAGGTGTGATTGATAGAGAAAATGATGGGGGGCGCTGAATTAGCGAAATTCACTCTGTTGAAGTGATAACTTGAGCTAAGAGGAAGCAACCTTTCCAAGATCTGGAAACAGGATTCCTGATAGGGGAAACGTGACTGAAGAAGGGAAAACGTTTGGAACTTGAGAGAATAGAAAGAATGCCAGTGTGACTGGAGCCAAGTTGCAGTGTGATGGAGTAGTACACATAAGGTTGGAAGGACAAACGGAAGCTAGATCTCACAGAATCTTGTAACAAGGTCACAGTAAGGAATTTGGACTTCCACCTTGGGAAACTATTTGAAAATTTTTATGGAGAGAGGAACATGATTTAGTTTATCACATTTAATTTTTTTTTTTTTTAGATGGAGTTTCACTCTTGTTTCCCAGGCTGGAGTGCAATGGAGCGATCTCGGCTCACCGCAACCTCCGCCTCCTGGGTTCAGGCAATTCTCCTGCCTCAGCCTCCTGAGTAGCTGGGATTACAGGCACGCGCCACCATGCCCAGCTGATTTTTTTGTATTATTAGTAGAGACGGGGTTTCACCATGTTGACCAGGATGGTCTCGATCTCTTGACCTTGTGATCCACCGGCCTCGGCCTCCCAAAGTGCTGGGATTACAGGCTTGAGCCACCGCGCCCGGCCCCAGTCTCTCCTAGTTTTTTGGCTGGGTAGGTGGCATGCTATTTACTGAGCTAAGAAAGCCTAAGAAAGAAGGGCTTTTGGTACAAGTGAGTCATGGAGAGTGGAATCAATTGTTATGTTTTAGACAGGTTAAGATATCTAGTTGACTTTAATTGGAGACATCCAAATAGGTAGTTGGTTCTGAATCTGAAGCTCAGGAACAAAAATTAGGGCTAGAGAAATTAATTTGGAAATCATCAACATATTAATGGTAAAAGCTGTCACACCATGTAAGCATTTATCTAGAAAATTCAGTATGTTTTTGACCAAAGAGAATGAGAAATACTTGAAATTTTATGGGTGATCATGACAGCTACTTTGGAATTGTTCTGAAGTTAAGTTAGGCTCAGAGGCAGTGGTATATAATGGAAGGAGTGTGGGTTTGGGGTACCAGAAAGGCTTATGTTTGAGTCCAATTGTGTCATTTAGTAATTTGATAATCTTGAATGAGTTATTTCACTGGTCTGTGCCTCAGTTTCCTTGTTGGTAAAATTACAACAAATTTTAGGTATTACAGGATTATAATATCTACCTTGAGGTTAGGAGTAGCATAACTTTTCATCACACAGGGCTCAGAATGTTTGAGATGGGTCAGGATACTAGATACATATAAAATCCTAATACATATATAGATACTGTAGTTATTGTATAAGGCATTTGGAACAAAATCTCAGACGTAGTAGGTTCTTAATATTAGTTTTTTCCATCTTTCAGTTCTTCCTCCTAGAGAAAAGTTCTTGACCCTCACCATACATTAGAATCTTCTGAAGAACTTAAAAAACAAGAGCCCAAGCGCAGTGGCTCACACCTGTGATCCCAGCATTTTGGGAGGCTGAGGTGGGCGGATCACGAGGTCAAGAGTTCAACACCAGACTGGCCAACATGGTGAAATCTCTTCTCTACTAAAAAATACAAAAATTAGCTGGGCATGGTGGCTTGTGCCTGTAATCCCAGCTACCTGGGAGGCTGAGGTAGGAGAAATGCTTGAACTGAGACCCTGGAGGCGAAGGTTGCAGTAAGCCTAGATTGCACTACTGCACTCCAGTCTGGGCTACAGAGTGAGACTCCATCTCAACCAACCAACCAAACAAACAAAACAAAAACCCTCTCGTGATTCCCCATTGTCTACCAAATGTAGTCTGAACTCTAACTTGTATGTCAAGCCCTAAGCAGTGGTTCTCAACGTTTTATTTTGCTTCAGCATTCTCAGGAAATACGACTCCCTCCCATAAACAGCTTCAGCTTGTGTTCAACTCAGTCCTATCACTTAACCGTCTGTGTGGCCTTGGGTAGTTTACTTATCCTCTCTTAAGCTTTAGTTTTCTCATCTCATTTCAGCTTTGCTTCCAACTCAGAACCTTTGTACTTATTTTTCTTTCTTCTTGGAATGTCCTCTCTTCCCTAAGGAGTTCTGGAGAACTCCTTACATTCTTCAAAACTCAGTTGTCATGTCCTCTCCTGTGTGAAACTTACCCTGAATGTCCCCTCCTTGACATAGTCCATCTTTCTTTGAGTTCTCATGCCACTTTGTTAATTAAGTACCTCTATTTTAACTCTTTTCCTATTGCATTGAAATAATGTTTCCATATATGTCCACAGAGTTTGAGATTTTTGAGGGCTGTTCCTGCATCTCATTTATCTTCTTTTTTTTTTTTTCTTTCCATGGAGTCTGTTTCATAGTAAGCAGTCAGTAAGTCTAGTCTAATTAATGAAGTGAAATGAAATAGCCAAAGATCCCTGAAACTGCCAACCTTAATGAATTTTGGAATGGACCTATGTCTTTTGCTTGGTGCTTTGTGATAAATTTTAGCTGAATGAATGAAAGAAGACAGAGGAACTGTCATACTTGGACCATTTCATACCCTCACAATGTCCAGCTGACTCATTAAAGGACCATTTCCTCCTGGGAGAAAACAAAACAAAACCATTTAGAAGCATTGTCAACATAAGCGGTGAGGAAACTGAATCACGGTTTTGTATAACTGGAATTTCTCTAAAAACCAGTATGGGCTGACTGGTAGACACACATGGTTTCTCAGCTGTAGCAAGTGAGAACACAAAGTCTGCATAACACTGCAGTGGGAGCTAGCTGGGATAACTTGTTGTGAACAGGGTGATCACTCTATGCCCGAAGAGTATGTTTTTGAAAACTTTTTCTCCTCCACTCCTTGCTTAGTGTTCAATAAACTTGGTGGTGGTTGTTTTTACAGTGTTTCTGGAATGGACTAAGGCTTAGGGATCCAAAAATGAACTAGACACAGTCCTTGGTCTCAAGTAGCTTCGAGTTCGCTAGGGACAGAGAACTGTTTTCAAACAGAGCTAGGAAATTCTCTAGGCACTGCAGTATAAGTTATAGGAAGTGAGGGAGTAAGTTGCTCCAGGGTGGCAGGGTGAAGTGGGCTTTGTGGAAAGTTAGAAAAGACTTTGTAAAGAGAAGATAAAGCTGGCATAGCCTTCACAAATAAAGTGTTGACCAGTTAGACAAGACAGGTAAAGATTTAAGTAGAGAGAAGAGCAGCCAACAAACATAAGGAGGCATGAAGCAGCCTGTTGTGTTTGGGGAACTACTAGTGGCTCAACAAAGCTGGAAGTGGATGCTGCAGCAAGAAACGGAGCTGGACAGGTAGGTAGGGACTAGCTTGTGAAGGGCCTTTTCTATACACTGACTTGTAGGCACTTGATCTTGTAGGCACTGAGAGCCATTGAAGGATGTTAAGCCAGTTATATAAACAGTTTTTTAAAATATATAAACAGTTTTTAATTTAATATTTATTTATTTATTTATTTATTTATTTAGAGACAGGGTCTCATGTCATCCAGGCTAGAACACAATGGTACAATCACAGCTCAGTGCAGCCTTGCCCTCCCCAGGCTCAGGTGACCCTCCTATTTCAGCCTCCCTAGTAGCTGGGGCTACAGGCATGTGCCAGCATGCCGCGCTAATTTTTATATTTCGGTAGAGGTTTCGCCATGTTGCCTAGGCTGGTCTTGAACTCCTGGGCTCAAGCAGTCCTCCTGCCTTGGCCTCCCAGAGTGCTGGGATGACAGGCATGAGCCACTGTGCCTGGCAGTTTTAATTTTAAAACATCACTTTAGTAGCAACCCGGAAGAGAGGCGAGTCTGGAGTCAGGGCGACCAGGACAATATTGAATTAGTAGTTAGTGAGGGAAGAAGGCAGTGACTATGGGAAAGGAGAAAGGCGCAAATCTAAAGGCCATTAAGGAGGTAAAGTGATTGGATGTGGGAACACAGCAGGAGAGGGAGAAACCTAAAATAATTCCCAGCTTTCAAACTTAGGTGACTGAGTAGGGGTGAGTCTTTTCACGGAAAGGGGGAATGCTGAAGGGCTAGGTTTGTGTGAGGACTATGTATTAATAGTAAGCTTAACTCTGAATACATTGAGTTTGAGATTTTTGTGGACACCTGAATGAAGCTCCTAATGGTTATTTGGAAGTAGGAATTATTATTTCTTTGCAAAGGGAGCTAGGTACTTCTGAACTGCAACTTCAGGATCTTAATTTAAAAGTGAGTCATCCTCTCTGCAGTCCATGCCTCCAAGATGACAAAGGAAAGAAGGAACAACAGTCGTGCCACAAAGGGCTGTGGCCATGTGCGGCCGATTTGCTGCATGAACTGTGCCCGATGCGTGCCCAAGGACAAGGCCATTAGAAAATTCGTCATTCAAAACATAGCGGAGGCCACAGCAGTCAGGGATATTTCTGAAGTGTGCGTCTGTGATGCCTATGTGCTTCCCAAGCTGTCTGTGAAGCTACATTACTGTGTGAGTTGTGCAATTCATGGCAAAGTAGGCAGCAATTGGTCTCGTGAAGCCCGCAAGGACCAAACACTCCCACCCCAATTTAGACCTGCAGGTGCCGCCCAACGACCCCCACCAAAACCTATGTAAGGAGCTGAGTCCTTAAAGACTGAAGATGGACTGTTCTCTGGAGAAAAATAAAATGGAAATTGTACTTAAAAAGTGAGTTGAGGAGAGGGTGATTGAGTATGGATAACAAACCCAGAAGCCCTTCCCACAGTGAGACATAAACCTTGCTTTCTCTGGGCTTGAGTTTTCAATGTCAAATTCTCAAGATTTACCAGTAGTCTAGTACTTTAGAAATCCAAGTCATGTACTCAAGAAATCCAAATTCTTACATTTTTTGTACTTTTTTGCCACCAGTAGTCAACAGAGGTACTCTTTAGGCTACAATGCAATGTAAGTATACTACTCAAATATTTTAATCAGGACAGAATTGAAGTAAATAGTGCCAGGACCAAGGCTGACCTCACGGTGGCACTCCAGTCTTGGAATAAAGGGCTCTCTGGAATCACCTTATTAACCTCTAAATGGACAGTCCACATTGAAGTGAAGAGTGGGCATGAACTCTGGGTCCATAGACCCTACCGTTTAATTTCCTAAAGAGAATTTACCAAGGAATTTGCTTTTCTGTTTTAAAATCAGCTCTGGCCTAAGGCTGGATCAATAGAATAAGTGTATAGTATGGCAGAATGTCTCTATCTATAAAAAATTTCATTAGGTTTCAAAACTAACCAAAATAATATCACCATTATTGTTTACTAATAACTACTATTTATTGAGTGCCTGCTGTGTGCCACATTGGGTTCAGGATACTTTTCAGATTGTGTGAGCTCACTGAACTCACAACAGCTCTATGAGGTTGATATTACAGTGTCCTTATTTTTCTGAGACATTAAGTAGCTTGGCCCTCACCCCATATAGGTAGTAAGTGGCCATACTGAGTTTTGAACCCAATCTGTGTGATTTCTAAGCTTGAGCTCTCTAAAGAAGGCTGCATTGCCTCATATTATTGATGCCAAGATACAAGCAGCAGTTAATGAAACTTGGTTTTCTTCAGGTATAGGCTATTTGGCATGAGGTGGTTTAAATAATATCATATTTAAGGAAATCTAGTGAGGGCTCCTATTGTGAATTTGTGGCCTCTTCATGAAACTCTTTGCCACATTTGAGAAACAGGATGTTTACGTAATCACCGAGTATGTCCCATAAGGTATTTATTAATTACAAAGAGAAAAATAGAAAACTTACAGTGGAGCAACCTGGAAGATGCCACGTGAATCAAATGGTCACAGTATAAATGGTAACACGAAAGTGGTAAAATATCCGTATGTGTACCATGGTGATATTCTTTTGCTTTTATTGTGGAAGAGACAAAGGGACAAGGGAGGATTTGCTGACATTATTGGTCAGGAGTGAAGTAGAGGATGAATTCCTACCTTTGATCTCTATCTGTGAAAGCCCAGATCTCACAAAGATTTCCAAATGAAACATTGACCTTTCTAAGGCAAAGAGAATTATCTGTGAATCCTAGACTCTGCACGAGGAGAGGCTCCAAGAAAGACACAAATAATAAAATTCCAGAATAATGTTATCGTACTGATTGTAGACTAAGGGGAGTGGGATTTGGTTGTCCTACTGATGAAATGCTTAATCAAGAGTATATGATTTCTAAATTGCATTTGTAAAGCATCTTTTAAAATGCCTTACAGACTGCAAAGTCCTCAAGCTTCTCTGCATCTCTAGGGGTTAATATCAGCATTTTGTATATTCTCAGCTTAAGATAATCACCAATCTACCTATTTTTTTTAAGGAACTGTCTTTTGGTGAGAAGGAGAAGATGTCTGCAGAAGCTTTTTGTTCAACATGTCAGTATTTGCATGATTTATAATGTAATTAACCAGGCCCTGTAGCACTGGCAGACCTGTTCCCTTCACTATTCATCATGTTTCTAGCAACTTCAGATCATCAACTCTGCTGGGAGGAAATATGTCCTTCTTAGAGATGTAAAAATATATCCACAATCATTCCCACAGGCAGAATGTGATCCATCCTTAGGTATTTATTGTTTCTCATATCTAAGGGCTCTTCCCTCCATTATTTTTGTATAGCATTACTCTCGGAACTAAACTAATTAAATAAATACAAGGCCAGGCCTGGTAGCTCACAGTTACCAAGAGTACTTTGAGAAGTCGAGGCAGATGGATCACTTTGAGCTTAGGAGTTTGCGACGAGCTGGGGGCAACATGGCAAAACCCTGCCTCTACTAAAAATATTATTTTAAAAAAAATACTTTAAGTTCTGGGGCACATGTGTAGAAATTGCAGGTTTGGTACATAGGTATACATGTGCCATGGTGGTCTGCTGCACTCATCAGCCCATCATCTACATTAGGTATTTCTCCTAATGCTATCCCTCCCCTAGCCCCCAACCCCTGACAGATCCCAGTGTGTGATGTTTCCCTTCCTGTGACCATGTGTTCTCATTGTTCAGCCCCTACTTATGAGTGAGAACATGTAGTGTTTGATTTTCTGTTCTTGTGTTAGTTTGCTTAGAATGATGATTTCCAGCTTTGTCCCCGCAAAGGACATGAACTCATCCTTTTTTATGGCTGCAGAGAATTCCATGGTGTATATGTGCCACATTTTCTTTATCCAGTGTATCACTGATGGGCATTTGGGTTGGTCCAAGTCTTTGCTATTGTGAACAGTGCCACAATAAATATACATGTGCATGTGTCTTTATAGTAGAATGATTTATAATCCTTTGGGTATATACCCAGTAATGGGATTGCTGGATCAAATGGCATTTCTAGCTCTAGATCCTTGAGGAGTCACCACAGCATCTTCCACAATGGTTGAACTAATTTACACTCCCACCAATGGTGTAAAATCAATCCTATTTCTCCACATCCTCTCCAGCATCTGTTGTTTCCCGACTTTTTAATAATCACCATTCTAACTGGTGTGAGATGGTATCTCCTTGTGGTTTTGATTTGCATTTCTCTAATGACCAGTGATAATGAGCTTTAAAACTACAAAAATTAGCCAGGTGTGGTGATATGTGCCTGTAATCCTAGCTACTCGGGAGGCTGAGGCAGGAGAATCGCTTGACCCCAGGAGGTGGAGGTTGCAGTGAGCCAAGATTGCACCAGTGCACTCCAGCCTGGATGACAGAACAACACTCTGTCTAAAAATAAAAAATAAATACAAAATCTAATACTACTTAGAAATAATTTTTTTATTCAATTGCTTGTAATCACCAGCACATATTTGTTAAGGTATAATTGTGCTGGGTAAAAGACAAAGTCTGTTGACTCGAAATCTAAAACAAAACACCTATATAGACAAATAATATTATTGCAAAATGACTTTAAGTCTCTATATTAAAACATTACAGGTATCCAAAAAACTTCAAATGTGTTTAGTTTTGGCCCAGTAAGCATTCTAAGTATTTACTCTGAATATACACCTATGGCAATATGAAAATACATATGCACAATTTTATGTATTGCAGCATTGTTTGTATTTGGGAAATAATTGAAAGAATCTAAATTCCCTTATGGTTCTCTAGCAAGCAGGCTCAGGAAAAAAAAATGTCTCCTATGGAGAAGAGTGGTTGAATAAACTACAGTACAAACACATAAGAGAGTACTATACATCTTTAAAAAAGAATGAGGGGGCCGGGCACGGTGGCTCATGCCTGTAATCCCGGCACTTTGGGAGGCCGAGGCGGGTAGATCACGAGGTCAAGAGATCAAGACCATCCTGGTCAACATGGTGAAACCCCGTCTCTACTAAAAATACAAAAAATTAGCTGGGCATGGCGGCGCGTACCTGTAATCCCAGCTACTCAGGAGGCTGAAGCAGGAGAATTGCCTGAACCCAGGAGGCGGAGGTTGTGGTGAGCCAAGATCGCGCCATTGCACTCCAGCCTGGGTAATAAGAGCGAAACTCCGTCTCAAACAAACAAACAAACAAACAAAAAGAATGAGGGACCAGGCGCAGTGGCTCACACTTGTAATCCCAGCACTTTGGGAGGCCAAGGCAGGTGGATCACCTGAGTTCAGGAGTTCAAGACCAGCCTGGCCAACATGGTGAAAACCCATCTCTACTAAAAATGCAAAAATCAGCTGGGCATGGTGGTCCACGCCTATAATCCCAGCTACTTGGGAGTCTGAAGCAGGAGAATTGCTTGAACCTGGGAGGCAAAAGTTGCAGTGAGCTGAGATGGTGCCACTGCACTCTTGACAGAGCAAGAGAATAAAGAAGATGTCCATGAACCAATATAGAATGATTTCTAGGTTATATCATTTAGTGAAAAAGAGTACAAAACAGTATAGTTGCTACTTACTGTGTTAAAAAAAAAAAAAAAGGAGTCAGAAAACATACACATCTGCTTTTTTGACCAAAAAAGAAAACCAGGAAGGATAAACTGGAAAGTAATGAGATTAGCTACCTCCAGGAAGTGGAAGGAAATGAGAAAGAAAGGGTGAGGAGGCCGGGGACTGAGTGGAGGGGATGAAGACTGACATTTTTCTTGAATATTTCTTTTTGTACGGTTCTATTTTTTGGAACTATGTTAATGTTTATATACTAAAACACACATGAAATGCACACACACAAATGGGTTGGGGGGAGAAATACTAAAATGGAATGCAAACAAATCAATCTAACAGTTTCAAGTGAATAATATAATCCCCCGGAAGACCAGGTATATTGGTGGGGGGACTAACCCAATCCAAGCAACTTCAGAATACAATCGTTTTTACAGTATATACTCTCAGACGAAAGACTAAATGAACTGCAAATGCATATTACATTTTAGTTACTTTTTTTTGCAGTAGAGGATGCCTTTTGGTAGCAATTCCAAATCGACTTCTGTGTATTCTGGAATTGGGCAAATAAGTAAATATAGATAATGAAATTCATTTTCTTCACAGAGAGAAGAGAGGTACAAATTAGAATGGGAAAAAAGTAGAACGCGTCCTAGAGTGTTGGATCAGACTTGGAATGACAGTGTAAAACTCTTGTGTTTTAAGAAAAGTATTGAGTATGTTTCGGCTGGGTGCGGTGGCTCACACCTGTAAT